CGTGTTTTTTTTTTTTTTTTTTCTTTAAACCCCAAGCCCGTTAAAAAAAAAGAAAAAAGAAAAAGAAATTTGGGCGAGTAAATGGCCAAATCTATTCGGCGAATATTTAGGGAACAGCGCAGGGAGCGAGCAGGCCAGTGGGCCAAGCACTGAGAGCTACCCGAGGACAGGTGAGAGGGGCCCCAGGGCCGAGGGGAGAGGAGGCAGGCAGAAGCCTAGGTGAGTTAAGGGACGGTGAACTTTTGAATTATTTAATTTTGAATTATTAAATTTATTATTTTTTACCTCAAATTCTGATGTTAATTTGAATACGCTCGTACACTTGGTTCTGGAAATAAATATTCTAGGGCCACAAAACCCAATGCAGTTACTAGAGTAAATCTGGGTATTGTGGAAGTACGTTCTTTGTCTGACCAGCAGAGGATGCTCTGTGACTGCGCTCCCCAGAGTCACTGAGAAGAAACGATACCAAGACATGTTCACGGCGTGCTAGCGCAGGAGGATGTTTGTAATCGCAACGCGTTGGCTGCTTAGAGCTACCCTTCCAGGGTGAAAATGACCACCTTATAAATAGCGGTCAAACTAGGCCTCAGAACTGCCACTGCTCGCTCAGTTGCATGGCTTTTGTTTTAAAAGTCCTATACTTTGAAAGGATTTATTTTGAGTTACTGCTTTTAAAGGATGGAGAAAAGTAAACCAACTTTTATTTTCTCGGTTCAGTCAAAACTAAAGAGACTTAAGTATGTATGATTAAAAAATTAGATCAGCCAAGTATTCGGACATGTTCTGATTCCAGAAAGGGTAGCGAAAAAGCCACATTGTTGTCAGCTGAAACACTGGTTCTGGAGCTCTAAGATTGGATGGCCTGAGGGTTTGGAATGCTATAATTTCATACAGCCATTTCCATCCAGAACTGGGCTCTGTGCCAGCATGGATTACTCCATGCATTGACAGTCTTGAAGGGAGCCCAGTAGGCTCACCCTGACAGTCATGGCTCAGACACGGGGACGTTGCCATTGATTAGTGTTTATTTTCAGCAGTACTGCTTTCTGCTTTTTCAAAATCTTTGTTCTAGCTGGTCATACACCTTTCCTAACCTCTCTTCCTTCAGTAGTAATTTTTTAGATCAACATTCTCAGTTTACACCTGTATGATGGTGTGTAAACTAGTCACAGCTAAGCCATATAGGACACTATGATTACTTTTCCTTTCCTGTGTAACTTTTTGGTTTCCCTGGGCTTGTTTTGTTTGTATGTTTAGTTTTCTATGTATTTATCCCTGATGCAACCTCAAACTCTTTACAAGTGTTCTAAATTTCCACTCAAGATATTCTGATGAGTGAGGCATTTTTATCCATTTCGTTTTCCTGTAGAAATCTCTCCTGGAGCCTTCTCATTTGCCTAATATGGAATGGCTGACCTCTCGGCTGTCTCCTGAAATCTCCCTTCATTATTATCCTGGAAATTCTCTTTGCTTATGTTGGGCCTTATGTTTAGTATATCCTACAGTTTTCTTTTTCTTGGTTTGCTACCTTATTTTATGGAGCACATAATCTCGTAGCTTCCTGAAGAAGGGGGCATGAGATATACTTTTTGAGGCTTTACATTGTCTGTAAAAGGTCTTTTTCTATTCTTACACTTAACTGATAGTTTGGCTAGATATTGAATTATATGTTGGGAATAATATTTCTTCCATCATCTGAAGCATTATGCCACTGCCTTCTAGTTTCTAGTGTTGCTCCTGATTTTTGTATGTGAACTTTATTTTCTCTGGAAGTTTGAATTACCTTCTCTTTATAACTGAATCTTCTGATCAGGTTTGGTTTGGTTTCATTTTTCACTCCACCATCGTATACTCAGTGGGCCCTTTAAGCTAAAAACTCATGTCCTCCAATTCTAGGAAATTTTCTTGAACTATTTGATTGACGAGTTCCCTGTTTTCTCTGTTCTTTCTGGTATTCCTTTTACTCAGTTTACTGAATGTCTTGTAACATCCCTCTGATTAACTTAAGTCTCTCCTGTATTTCATCTTTTTATTTCCTCTACTTCCTGGAAACTCTCTTCAACTTTATCTTCCAGATTTTCTATTGAGATTTTTATTTCTGCGATTATATTTTTAATTTAGAACACTTTTCCTAAAGATTCCTTTTTTATATCTTGTGCCTATTTTATGATTGCATTGACTTATTTTTTTCTTCTGATATTAATAATAGGTTTGGAAAGTTTCTTCTCTCTGCAGTTTTTCCTCTAATTAACTTTCTTCTGTTTTTGTCCCTGCCTTTCCTTTGTTTTCTGGTAATGCTTAGTTGTCTTGTCATATTTAAGAATGGAAGATTAAAAAATGTTTTGAAAGCTGTTGGAGGCAGAAGGGCTTATGGACTATCAACATCACTGTAGTTTTTCTCACCAGGCTGTTTAGTTTGTGAAACCATTCCAATGTTATTTCTCTTGGGCCTGGTCAGTTTCCTCAAGGAAGACTTCCAGTCTTCTGCCTAGAAGGGGGAGGCCAGATTGCTTGTGTTATGGGAGCAATGCTGGGGAAGAGAACAGGAGGTCCCCCTGTTTTCGATGTGACACTCTTACCTCCGATGTGCTTAGTATTTTCCTCCAGTCCGTATATCCTATGTTTGAACCTCTCCAGAAAATAAACCTAATCTTTTACCAGAGCGAGGGAGAGGCAGTCACCTAGAACTAAGGAGGGGAATATAAATCAGGTTGGTGCTTGGCTCTCCCCATTGCTAGCTTAAGATTTTGTTTTCTCAGATCTTGTAAATTATTTTCTACTCTTTTTATCAACTTCCAATGTATCTTTCCTGTTGTTTCTGCCTGCCCTCATCTGTGGGAGTTTGTGCTGTTTTAAAAATCCCTTTATTGGGGGTTGGTCATTCAGCTCACTTGGGAGAATGTGGTGCTGATAATAACAAGGTCAAGGGTTTGGATCCCCATACTGGCCAGCCACATATATATAAACATATATACATAAATCCCTTTATTATTGTTTTAGTGGGGTTTGGGGAAGGAGTAAAATTAGATACATAGTTTCAATATACTATCTTACACAGAAGTCTTTGGTTATAGTCTTTTAAAGATTTTTATGTCTATAGTCACTGGTTTAACTTTTTTCCATTCCCATTTTACAGTTCCTGATGAGCATCTATTATCGTAAGTATATATCTTGTTGTGTTTGATGTTTTAAAGCATTAACGCGTTTTAAAAGCCAAATCCTTTCAACATCAACTCTTGATTTTTAAAAGTATTATTTCTAAACTGGAAAAATATTCTCTTGACATGATTGTTAAAAATCTGTCTCAAGTGAATAGTTAACACTGTATTGGACAGTACAAGGCGCTCCCATATTGTCATATTTGCCACTGTTATTTAACATTTGTCTAGAAATTGTAGCTGTTACACTAACACACGAAAAAGAAATTAGAAGTACATCTATCTGCAAGGAAAGACAATTATTATTTGCAGGTAGTATAACTAGTTTTAAAAAAACAAGAGAATAAAATAGTGGCCAGTTATTAAAAAAAAATCAAGAATCATTTTTCTTCATAGCACAAAGCTTGAAAATCTAATTACATTCTCAATAGCAACAAAAAAGTGAAAGCTACCTAGTAATCAATGATGCTTAGTTGCATGTATACACCCTTGTATTTAAAAAGCCCTGCAGGGTATACACCAACCTATACTAAGAGGAAGGAAGGAGGTGGAACTTAGGGAAGGGCTTTAACCTTTTCTCTGTTCTTATGTTTTTTATATGGATTATATATTATTAGAAAAAAAAAAAGAAAGAAAGAAAATGGGCAAATAAGTAAAAAATGCAAATAGCCAAAAACTTTTAGGAAAAAAGATACATCTTACTAGTGACCGTAAAAATACAAATTAAAATAATAAGATAACTTTTCATCTATAAAACTGGCAACCTCAGAAAATACATTGGCAAGAATATGGGGAAAGGGAAACTGCTGGCAGGAATGTAAATTGGAAGGTAATCTGGATATAGGAGCTTTGAAACATATACCTTGACTTAGAAATACCACTTCTAAGAATGTATCCCAAGGAAGTAATTATGAATGTTGATAAAGATTTTACAGTGAGTATATTCATTCTGTATTGTTTATGACAGCAACAAAACAAAACAAAAAACCTGGAAACAATCTAATTATCCAAAAGCAGAGCTTGGGGAGATAAAAGAAGTGATTCATCTCTACAGTAGAATTATTTGTAGCCATTAAAAATATTAAAAAATACTGCATTCAAGAGATGTTCACAATAGGCCATAAAATGAACAAACCAGGTTTTAAAAATTATTAAAGTTAACTGTGATTATCTCTGATAAGTTTCTCAACAAATTTTATTTCATTTTTCTTTGTAGACTAAATCTTCATACATTTAATATAAAAAATTTAAAAGCACTCTTTCCCATCCCCCCAATAATTTGTTGTATATGAGACTAGTTTGTTGGAAAATGAAGTAACATTTCAAGTTTGAAGACTTGGTAGTTCTGTCTTTTTACTGTATTAAGTCATATGTGTTCTTTAAAACATTAACTTTTCAGTTTTAGTTCAACCTAGCCATTCTGTTTTCCAGTTTATAAAAATAACCTGCATTCTTTGTTTAAAAAATAATAAAAAAGTAAACCTGTTTTATTAGAAAATAAAACATCAAAAGCATTAACAATTTACCCAGTGATAATCACTCTTACATTTTGGTTTATTGCCTTCTTTTTTTTTTATTGAACTTTTTCTTTTGAAATAATTTGTAGATTTCCTTTAAAAAAATTTTTTTAACATGATTCAGAGTTCCTGAATAGACAGTTTTGTCCCCAGCCTTTCTCACCTAAGAATTTGCCCACATATTAAAATTTTTCTGCTGTATCATTCAACAGCTGGATAGCCTTATTACTAATCCAGAAGTGTAAATTTAACATCCATCAGATAGTCAAATATAAAAATGTCGGATAATACTGGTGTTGGTAAGGACATACAGAAAATGGAACTCTCATTCAGTGCTGGTGGGAGTGCTGTTTCCACTTTGGAAAGCTGTTGGCAGCATCTATTTTAAAAATGTACATATCCTAAGACTCAGCAATTCTACTTTTAGTTATATAACCAGGAAGAATTTTCATATATGAGGGTACTTCAAAAAGTTTGTAGAAAAATAGAATTAAAAGATAATACGAATCTTTCCATGAACTTCTTGAAGTATCCTCGTATGTACACCAAGGGACATGGATGGGGATAATTATTATTTATAATAATATAAGATGTAAATAGTTGGAATGCCCATCAGTGTACTTAGCAAATAAAATGTAGTATGTACACATAATGGAATATTCAGAAGGTAGAGTAAAAGAAACGTATGTATCAACATGCATCGTTTTCAAAATGCGTTGAGTGGAAAAAGGCAAGCCGCCAGAAAACCTACAATATACCTTTTATGTTCTAAGACTTACAAAACAATACCATAAGTATGTACATACACATAAGCATATGTGTATATATGCACACACGTAACGCTCTATGTATAATAAGATATAAAAGCATTAACAGAACAGAAACCAACAAATGCATGTAGTTGCCTCAGGGATGAAGGGAAGGTGGAAAGAAGTATAGGAAGCAGTACAGAGAAGTATAAAGAGAGCTTCTTTATCTGTAATAGTTTACTCCTTTTATTTTAAAAAAAAATGAAAATCTGAAATAAATGAACAAGATGTTAATTCTGGGGAGTGAGTCCATGGGTTTTAATATATTATTTTCTTTGTTTCCAAAATAAAATGAATTTTTGAAAAAATGCTGTGATCTTTTGGGTCAAGTTACTGAGGTGACTTTGAGAATCAGTCCCTCTAACCTAAAGCCTTTTTATTTTCCTAGGCTGAAGTTTGTCTTTGGTTCATCAGCCATCCAGGCCTTGGACCTAGTTGATCGACAGTCCGTCACCTTGGTTTCATCACCCAGTGGAAGGCACGTTTACCAGGTAGAAGTCTAGAGGTGGGGATGATCTCAACAGAAACCTCTTAGGATACTTTGAGTATTTCCTGGAATGTTGGAAAACTTTTGATTTAATAAACTTAACATATTAATAATTTTAAAATTTTATTTATTTGTAATTAACCAAAAGTATATATTTATGGCATACAGCATGATGCTTTGATATATATAAACCTTGTAGAATGACTAAATCAAGCTAATTAACATCTCCATTACCTCACATATTTATTTTTTGTGGTGAGAACACTTAAAATCTACTGTTAGCAATTTTCAAGTATACAGTACATTGTTATTAACTGTAGCCACGTTAATCATGGTTGTACAGTAGAATTCATGAATTTATTCCTCCTGCTTCACTGAAATTTTGTACCCTTCGACCAACATCTCCTCATCCTCCTCCCCAAGCCCCTGGTATCCACCATTCTTCTTTATGCTTCTGTGAGTTTGACTTTTATAGATTCCACATATAAGTGAGAACATGTGGATTTGTCTGTCTTTCCATGGCTTATTTCACTTAATTTCCTCCAGGCATTTTAGTAGTTAAGGTAAATATGACCTATTGACTCTATCCAGTAGCACTGAACAGAACCAGCAGTGGAGTGGAGGCGATGTTTTCTTAGGTCTAACGGAGTAGAGTCAACTTTGGCTTTCCTGTTGTTTGATAGTAGAGACGCTCCTTCCCCCCGGCCCCCATACATTTGTTGACATTTTCATCTTGTTTGTTATCTCTTGCTTACAAGCAAAAGCCAAAATGCATTTTGTGGTCCTTCCACATGTTCAGATTCATCTATTAGAAATGATCTTTCAAAACTATTGCCAAGATTTATTAAGGGTCAAACGGTGCAGAATTCAGGCAGTCTACTTGGACCTTCACTTTGCCATATTGGAGCTTATGATAGGGATAGGTAGATTTGTGAAGTAACAGCTCCTTATCAGACTGAATTACTTTCATGTGTTATTGATAATTCTCACCAATAACCCAGCAAGGTATTTATTTTGCAGGAGACTAACGTGCAGAAAGGTAAAGAAACAGTCACATCTGGCTACCCCACACTGCCTGTTTTATAACGAGACTTGAATAAAGACTATATAAACAATGGGCCAAACCCCAACCACCTTCGCCCTCCCCCCCACTGCCCAGTTTAGCTATATGCAGCAGTGGTAAGTGCAGCTGGAATTGAGGGAAGGGACTCTTATGAATGAAATGAAAGTATTGGCAGTGGTGTCCAGAATTGTGTGTCTGTCTTAGAAGGGGTCAGAAAGAAGCCATCAGATCTTAAATATAATCCAGGCTTTGATGAAGACCAGGAAGGAGGGAATTTTTTAATGTTTGAGTTCTGGTTTATTTGCATTGAACTACTCAGAGCCGAGACTGTCAGTTAATTCTCATTGAGAGACCATGTAATAAATTCTTTTTTTTTTTTTTTTTCCCCTTTTTTTGTCTTTTTTCATGACTGGCAACGGATCGCAACCGGCAACGGATCGCAACCCTCAGTGTCGCGCCCGTACTGGGCCGGGACCGGCAACGGGTTCGCAACCCACGGTGTTGCTCCCACACCTCGCTCAGCCAGTGAGTGGCCGGTCTGTATATGGGATCCGAACCCTTGGTTGTTGCTCCCACACCTCACTCAGCCAGTGAGCGGCCGGTCTGTATATGGGATCCGAACCCTTGGTGGGAGCGCCGCCGTGCTTCCCATGCGGCGCACTGTAGCAGTGCGCCACCGGGCTGGCCCATAAATTCTTAAGGGAGTAAATGACTTAAGCAAAGCCTCAAATTTGCTTGGGCAAATTTAGTGCCTTTGCTTAGTGAATAACTTGCTATTCTACACTGTAGCATAACTTCACTGACCTGACAAAATCTCCATGTGTTTCTTCATTAAGGAAAATGGGGTAATTAGTGTTGGATGCTGCTGTTAGAACTTGTAGATGGTATTTTCCTATTCAGAAGAGACTGCCTATTACAATTTTCTCATGGTGAACTTATAGATTATATCAGTTACTGAAGTTATTGTTTGTACTTGAGGAGGTGTTTCTGGTTTTTTCCTGGTATTTTTATCTTTGGTTTTTATGTAGCTAAGATACCTGAAACTAGAGGAGCCATCAAGTTTTCACCATGTATTTTAGTTTTGGCTATTTGGTCTCAGATCCATTATAAGCATAACACATGATCTGGACAGGCAGATTTCTGTCTACTTCTGTGATCTATAGTTATTAGTTAAAATCTCAAAGATTTTTTTTGAAATATTTTTATTATTGACTCTTCATTCCTCCCAGTAGTCACCATGATTTGTTTAGTTTTTGTCATTCATATCTGTATTACATTGCTATATTAGTCATAAAAAATGCTAACTTCCTAGAATTGTGGCTGTAAGCTTGGACTTTGAATTAAAGAGGCTGTATAAATCTTACACACTCTCAAAGTAACCTTAATGGTTGCATTATATAGTAATGTAGTAAGGATTTGGCTTCATCGGGGGTTGTATGAGATGGTAAAAGTTGAGTCAGACACTGCCTTGATACCCAACTAGTTAATCTTTCCATAGGCCAACCCTGATATTCTTACTGTCCTCCAAGTGTAATGTGTAATTATCCTAAAGTCGCCATTGTGTTGCTGTTACCTGAGTTGCTTTTTTCAAACTTTTTTGGTTCACTTAGGAAGGAGGATGCTTCAGTCAGAACAGGCTAAATAACGGTAGTAATGATCTCTAAATCTGAGAAGCTTACAAAAACAAAGTCTTAAATTTCATCCATGCTACATATCCATCAGTAGTCAATTGCAGCTCTGCTGAAAAACATCTTCATTCAGACATCCCACTGACAAGCAGCCCCTATCTGGAACATGATGGGTCTCGTAGCAGAGAGAAAAGAGGACAGTGGTATGAGGCCATTTTTAATGTGTCTGCTTGACTGCTCACATTCTACTGGCTGAAGCAGGTCACATAGCCAGCCTGTATTTAATAGAATAGGAATGTATAATCCTTTTTCCAGAGAAAGGCACCGAACACAGGGAACAGTAAATAATACAGTATCCTAAGAGGCTCGGAGGAGTGATATTATAAAAGTGCCCCTGTGAACAGATGACCATCTGGGTGGGCCTCTCTCCTTACAACCTAACTGAAACACATAGACTTCCTCCAAATGAGGTTTCTATAAGTCCAGTCTGGATCTAAGTATTCTCTTTTTTGCATGTTTCTTTTTTTAAAGCTCTCTTATTCTGGGGATAAACATTCCAGACTATGATTGGGAGAACGCAAAGCAGTTCCTGTGAGAGGAGGTTGTTTTTCTATTGAAGGTTGAAGGAATTGAATTAGATTGTCCCTGAGGTCAATTTCCAGTTCTAAACATTTCTTCCTCAGATTTTTGCCTGATTATTGGGTTCATTGGTTGTGCACTGTCAGATAAAGAAGAAGCAAATTCAAAACTTACTCTTTTTACAGTATTTACTGTAACTTCCCTTAGGCGGTTAAATAGTTTACGATGAGTTTTAGCCAGCTTTTGAAAGGATCAGACAAGGGAACCTCTGTAGAATTTCCCCCCATTCCTAAGTCACCAGGATTTTATTCAACATAGTCCAGGGAGCATTCTCATGGATTGGGGACTCACAATGAGAAGGAACCAGTGAATCACGGTGGGTTTTCTGTCAGATTAAATGGAAAACAGTCCTCTTTAATGCTGTCTCTTCAGTTTTTTTCCAGACATCCTAGGGAAACTTCTCCATTGATACTCAGTGGTGTAGGCAATATGTTCATAACATGTCAGAGCCTTGCAATAGGAAATGTGTTAAGATGTGATTTTTCAATACCTAACTTGTAACTGGGGCTGAAATCTTTAATGAGTATAGTAGGCCTCCTATTACAATTATTGGTCGTATCTGGTAATGTGGCAACCCCAAGGAATTCTACTGAATTGGTCAAATAAAGGCACCAACAGGGCTGGCCTGTGGCTCACTCGGGAGAGTGCGGTGCTGATAACACCAAGGCTTGGGTTCGGATCCCTATATAGGGATGGCTGGTTGCTCACTTTGGAGAGCGTGGTGCTGACAACACCAAGTCAAGAGTTGAGGTCCCTTTCCGGTCATTTAAAAAAAAAAAAAAAAAAAGGCATCAACATGGCTACATCATGGGAACCACCGAGCATGTGACAAACAGAAGCACACTTGAATCTGCTGTCTCTTCTTTAGTTAAAGCCTTACCTGTTGCTTTATTCTTTGTCGGGGAGAAAGAGGAATCAATCCCTGGAGTAGTCATGGCTTTTTCATTTAGATTGCCATCTTAGAGCCTAAAACTAATTTGAAGACCCTGTGGCAAATTCCTAAATTCACTGTAAACTAATCGTCTGGATGTTTCTAGTTCTCTTGGATACTAATAATCTTATACTTCCAGTTTGGAAATTAACTCCAGGAATGAAGCCCCCAACAAAAAGCTTTTGGTTGCTTGAGTGGTAGAGAGACTTAAAGAAGTGATTTCTCTAATAAATGTGTCCAGTCACACTGCAGCCTTATCTTACTTTCTTTATATGTCTCCTTTTTGTTCCTCTTGTCTGCTACCAAGGCTGTTTGTTCTTAGACTGAGCCTCTTAGCAGCCCCCTATATCTGTATCCCCTTTCCACCCTGCTGATGAGCGGGCGGATACAGGCTTGCCTCTTTTCCTGAGACCTCCACCCTCAGCTGCCAAGTCATCCCTTTTGCAAAGTTCTTTGCTTTATTTATTCTCCCCACTCTGAAATGCTTTTCAAAAACCTTTTCCACTCCTCACCCTTTACCTGTTTTCACTCTCTCTTTAGATATGGGGTAGAAGTCTTAGAAACTTGAACACATGCTATGAAATACCAAAGGTTAAACCCCACAATAAAATGTAGATGAGAGAAGCTTTCCCCTCCACCACTTTTTATAGTCAGCCCATGGAGTGGGCCCTTTGAATCACTAGGCATAGGAAGAAAATGGTTTGTGTGGATGGTTGAACTAGCCTGAAACTCTTCAGTTCCATTGTGTGAAGTCCTGAAGGGCAGAGCACTGACTAAGGAAGGAAGAGTTTGCACAGTGGAGGGAAGAGAAGTTGAGTTTCCCCTTTCGTGTGAAACAAACCTCAGAGCAGTTCTTCCCGGTGTGATTTTCAGAGCAACTCTGAGTCATTAAATTGATGAATTCAAGGGAGTGAAGCGTTTTTATCCAAGACACCTTCAGATCTCTGATACCATCTGTCCTTTTCTCCTAGGTACTTGGAAGTTCTGGTAAAACATACACATGTTTGGCTTCATGTCATTACTGTTCATGTCCTGCATTTGCCTTCTCGGTGCTACGGAAGAGTGACAGCCTACTGGTGAGGATGGGGAAGGCTCTTCTCACTGTAGTCAAATTAGGAAAGAAGTTGCTAGCCCTTCATGGCTTTAGAGTTGTACAAAGTGGGAATTTTACTACATGTTGAAACAAAGTGTAGTTTATTGTTCTTGACTTCAGTTAGTCATCTCTTTCGGGCTTAGCCTCCCACAACGTGGTGTCATTTTTAGAACTACATCAGTTTCTTTTCCATTTAAAAAGTCATAGGTGAAGCTTTGGGGAGGACAAAAGGGTAATCCCAGAAGCTGGCACTGAGGAATTAGATGGTCCAATAAAAATATTTTAAAAATTAAATTATATGTTGAAAACTTTGCACATCCCCAACTCCAGCCATGAGGTATGTCTCCCCACTAGCTGTAAGTCAGCCTGGCCGCACACTCAACTTTCACATGGGACAGGAGTACCTTTGCCTGTCCCTCTAAGCCTTTGCCAGTTTCTTCAGAGTCCAGAGCATCAAGCAGCAACAGCACATAGTCACACACTCTTTATTCCAAAAGGAGAGGTACTACCCTCCTGAGAGCAGGTAGCTATTTTTTAAGTCTTGCCAAAGAAGAAAATAACTGTGTCCACTCTGCTCTCCCGTCGTATACTACCAGCTTCTTAAACACCTTGGGAACTCAGTAGCAAGTTGGGTATGCCATTGTACAAAAGGCCACATTCATACCTGATGAGCCATTAAGTTTATTTCACCTGTAAAATGATAGGATTGAGCCAGGGCCCCTTTAAGATCTAAAGCTGTGTTCTGTGACAAAGTCCCATGTAGTCATCTCCCCAGAGGTGTGTACAGGCCAACATATGTGAGTTTTGCCAGCACTCCTCCTCTCACCCCCCTCCCTGGAAGTTGACCCAGTGGGATAAGGGAGGAGGTTCTAGGCTGTGAGCACATGGTTAAAATGGGAATAATACCTGTGTTCAGGGTAGCTGTCAGATTTAAATAAGATAATCTATGGGAAGTACTTAGTAGCATAGTGCCTCAGGGAGTGTTAACCATTGCTATGACAGCTTTCTTAAGGCAAGGAAGAAACGTAATTTAGGACTAAAATGAGGAACCTGTCTTGGTTTTCACCATGGATTACCTACCTTGTACCCATCTTGTACTGGATCTAAACTTCTTCAAAGCAGCAGGCAGTCTTTCTTTATCCTCTCTAACTTCATCACCTTTATCTGCATTTTTTAGGCTGTGAGTAAAGGGCCCCATAGTCTGTGTGCCCCAGTCCTTTCCTGCTAAATATGATGGTACTGAGAAGAAGTCTTGGTTAGACTGGCCAGCCGTTGTCCTGCCTGTTTCTAACAGGTTTATGTGTTTTGTATTCCAGTGCAAGCATCTCTTGGCAGTTTATCTTAGTCAGGTTATGAGGACCTGTCAGCAGCTAAGTGTCTCTGACAAGCAGCTGACTGACATCATATTGACGGAGAAGAAACAAGAAGCATAAAAGGTACAGACTGAGCATTGTCATCTTTCAAAACAGAAATTCCTGTCAAGAAATGCCATGCAAGAGAGGTGAAATATATCTTCCAGAGACTTATTACTGTCCCTTTTCCCTCCTGGACTGCTGGAGGGGCTGTGGGCTGTGGAGGGTGTGTGTGGTTAGAAGCCCTGTATAGTCTTCTCATGAAAAACCTGAACCATCCTCTGAGCCCTGGGGTATAAAATGTCCCTGTATGTAATCACTTATCTTAGACTGAAATAAAGCCTAGTATCATGTTGTGTCTTTTTTTTTTTTTTTTTTGTCCTTTTTGAGACTGGCCGCACCACGCTTAGCCAGTGAGCGCTGTGAGCGCACCGGTCATCCCTATATAGGATCCGAACCCGCGGCGGGAGCGCTGCTGCGCTCCCAGCGCCGCACTCTCCCAAGTGCACCACGGGCTCGGCCCCACAAGTAGATTCTTAAGGGACTGAATTGCTAGCAATTTTTAAAAGCTTGGAATGGCAGGCCACTCGGGGTAAGATGAAGTCAGATGAATAGGTGTTGGTTCTTTTCCTTGGATCCAGAAGTTACTCAGCAGCAACAAAAGATCAGAGCAGAGATGTGGCTAAACAGCAGCTACTACAAAAAGACTTAGGGGTTCTGGTTTTGGTAAGCTTCAAGGTCGTGGTGGTGGTGGGTGGTGGTGGTGGTGCCAGTGGTGCCAAAACAGTTTACATGGGCTGTACTGTTACAGAGGTGGCATCCAGAACAAGGCAAGAGCTGATTTTGCCCTGCATGCATTTCTGAGCTTTGTAACAGGACAAATGAAGGAACTGACTAAAAATCATGTCCAGGGAGGATGCTACAGATAGTACACTAGGGATTTTCAGTGTGAAGAAGAAAAGACAAAATAGATACCAGGAGGAACGTCAGCAGGGAGAGATATGAGATTCAGTTGGACCCCACGAGAACACAAAGGAGCAATAATAGATAGATATAGATGAAAACCAGACAGATTTTCAACACAGGGCAAGAACTTCATAATAGGGAAAGCTATCCATAGCCAGAAGAGGATCCTAGAGGGAGAGGAATTCCCTGTCTCTGGAGAGAGCCATAAACCTGCAGTATCTTTGCAGGGATACTACAGAAGTGGACCAACGGGCAGCCTGGGAAACCCCTACCCTTGTGCCCCCAAAACATGAAGTGCTGGAGAATGAATGTTGGGTGAATGCCCAAGGCCACAGATGTTGCAGTGTTCTGTGGTTGGTAGAGCTTTTGTTATGTTGAGGTGTAGCAAAATCTACCAAGACTTTTCTGCTATTTGGGAAACTTTAAATATAAAACTTATTTTTTTTAAAGCAGCCTTCAGAGTAAGTTAGACAGTAGATGCAGCTCTTTATAACAAGCCAATGCAGTACCCTAAGCATGTTTTTAAAAAACTTATTTCACCTAGTATACATACACAGTTATATAATTTTACTTAGTAAAATCTTCACACTTTGGGTTCCAACAATTTGGCCAAACCTGAACTTGGAAGAGAAGAAAAATTCACTACCTAGCTCTAGAAGGGGGAAATTTGGTAGAGGAAGGATGCCATTTCTCCAGTTTCTTCCTCTAGGGTAGTTTCCTATATATGAAAAGAATGAAGTCTAAAATTATCTGATAATAATTCTGGTTAGGAACTTGTGAGAATATCATTTCCCTAATTTAATATGGCAGTTTGTTTGTTTTTTGGGTTTGTTTTTTTTTTTCCCCTATATAAAGATGACCAGTAAGGGGATCTCAACCCCTTGGCTTGGTGTTGTCAGCACCACGCTCAGCCAGTGAGCCAACTAGCCATCCCTATATAGGATCTGAACCCTATATGTGTTAACACCCCTGTAGTGTTATCAGCACTACACTCTCCTGAGTGAGCCACGGGCCGGCCCAATATGGCAGTTTCTTGATTGAAGAATTATACTTTTAATTTTCCTGGTCACCTTCCTAGGTACAAGTATACATTTTTAGTACAGCAAACTTTTATTTTTCCATTACCTCTAAGTTAAAAAAAATGTGCATTATAGTAGTTCACAGTGTTTGTTTCACAATAAAATATTTTCGGTCATTTTCTATGATGAATGAGGCAGACTCTTAAAATAATCTTTTAGAATCCTTCAAGGCTTCAGCATCATCCACACAGTAAGAACAGCAAAAAAGAACCATAAGTATAACTGTCAACCATTGGTGCCTACTAATGACACATACATATTAGCTAGATATGTGGTAACTCCAGGGACGTGCTCGGAAGAGGCAGCCTATACGCCTGTGAGGTGCCAATGAGAAGCAGCCCGTCATGTCCTGTCCCTTTGTTTATTGTGAATCTGTGCCTTCTTGAAGAGGCCAGGGCCTCGGTCATAGGCCCACACTGAGAGCAGGCTGTGCCCTGGCCTGCCCATTCCCACTCTTGACATCTGTCTGACAGAGAACATACCTGGAGATGATTTTGTGAAAAGTATAGCGGAAGTCTTGGTTCCGGTAGGCATAGACAATGGGATTGACAACTGAATTGGCATGTGACAAGAGAATGGCCATATTCATTGCCCACTTGGGCTTATCCTTAGCCCGAGCTGGCTGAAAAAGAGTGACACAATTGATGGCATGTACTGGCAGCCAGCACAGAGCGAAAATCCCCACAATCATGGCCAGCGACTTGGCCGCATGGATCTCCCTTTGGAGGGTGGTCCTGGAGTGGTCCATCAGCTCGGTGCGCTGAAGCTGCCTGCAGGCCACTGTGAAGATCTTGACGTAGATCACCAGCATTATGAGCAGTGGTGGCAGGACACACCCAAAGAAATTGAAATACACCATGTAACTCATGGGGACCACATTCTCAAAAAGACACTTCACACGGCAGCAGCTCTCATTCATGGTTCCATCCCAGGGCTCCGTGCAGTTGGTGGCACTGTCTTTACTGTTCCACCCCAGGAATGGAGTCAGTCCGATGCCGAAGGCAAGGACCCAGAGGGCAGCAATGACCCCTCTTGCTCGTGTTCCAGTGACTAAACTTTTATACCTGTTCAAAAGACAACACCATGTGTTATGGTCAGTTTATAGTCCTCTGCAACCGAAGTCCAAGACTCCACCTCTGCTTTTGTTCTATGGCCCTTCAGCCCTAACAACCTCCAAGGTTCACCCTCCAGAGCACCATGGCCCTTACTCTCAACACTAACATGCAAGCAGGTATGGGCAGCTTTGCTCTAACAAGCTCAGTAAGATTTTCATTCTTGACTTAGTAACTCATTTTTGTTTAGCAACAAAGGATAGTGAAATCACAAGATGTGGAGAAGTATTAAGGAGGTACTTTCTAATTAACTAGTTACTGACCTTTGAGTCTAGGTCTACTGAAGGCACTTTCTAGAGGCTGATATACCAGTGAACAGAACACACAAAGATCCCTGCTAATGTTAGGACTTTCATTCTAGCAGGGGAAACAATAACAAACAAAAGTTAATAAATAGTGTGGTATGGAAAATGAAAATGCAGAGTAAGGAAGATCAGAACTGGCAGGAACTGTACTTTTAAAGAAATCAGTCAAGGGAGGCTTCATTGAAAAGGTGACATTTGAACAAAGGCCTGAGAAGTGAGCTTTGGAGGCCCCTGGAGTCGGGCAGCACTACCTGTGGCTCTGGGCAAGAAAGCCCACAGTTATTGCTGGTCTCCCACAAATAGCACAAGAGGTTTACCTCAGACCATGGGCAGAATCACTTCTGAATACCTCTGCAAACTGCTGGAGAACAAGTGTTCTGGCAATGCCCCTGTGTACAGAGAAATGCCAGCAACAGAACTGATAAAAATCGGGAAATAGCAAATATTAAATTTTTTTAGTAATTTTTAAACATTAAATCTTACTTAAAATCACTAGAAATCTTATTATATCTTTTAGACATTTTGCTATAAACTAGTCTATACTTTGCAATTAATAACTGGCCCATAATATGTATGTAATGTATTATATAAATGAGCGCACTCAATATAATACATTAAGTAAATGAAACAAAATCTTTCTATAACCTCCAGGGGGAAACTAGGAAATAATTTGATTCGGGTTACCTTAAGACTTGTCTATGGCAAGTGTCCCATTTCCTTTGCCTGCAGATGAAGCTCATATTTCTCAGCATGGCCCACAGAGCCCTCCAGGCCTCGGCCCCACATGCCCTGTGCTTGCTGTTCCTAACCAATGGCTCCCTTCTCGTTCATGCTACTCTCAGCATTGGACGAAACACTTGTCCTCTTTCAAGAGTCACCTCCTTTTCTGGTCACCTCTTAGGCAGAGGTGGTCACTCCCAATCTCTGGCCCATACACACACACTTGTCTTAGAGCCTGGTTTCCTGTTAACTACAATGTCCACCTCTTAAGGACTTGGACCTTGCCGCTTGGCAGTGGTATGCCCAGGACCTACCACAGTGCCTGGCACATGGTAGCTTCCTAATAATATGACCCATTATGAATACATGCCTCATTTGTTATCTAACATCAAATAGCTTTAAAGCAAGATTCTACTTACTAGAAATACCTGCTGCTGTGGCCTGGACAGGCAGGAGAACTGCGACAGTTTGCTGAGGATGTTAACTTGGGTTTGCCTTGTTATTTACAGCGATCTCTAATCTTTTCAGTTCCCTATTATGGCACCTCTAAGCAACAGGCAGCCCATTTGTGGGGCCTTCACTACATATGACCTGCTGGGCTCAGTTGCTCACTGAATTTTTCTTGACCAATGAATCCATTTATTTCCAAACCCTTTCTGCCTCCCTCCTCATTCAGAAATGTAAGCCTTTCTTTAAAAAATGTTACTCCTGGGCTGGCCTGTGGCTCACTTGGGAGAGTGTGGTACTTGATAGCACCAAGGCTGCGGGTTCGGATCCCATATAAGGATGGCTGGTTTGCTCACTGTGTGAGCACGGTACTGACAACACCAAGTCAAGGGTTAAGATCCCATTACCGGTCATCTTTTAAAGAAAAAAAAAAAAAGTTACTCCTTGCCAATGCCTCACCAGAGACATGAATAAACAATTAGTCTCTGCAGGATGACAAGGACACCTCCTAAAGGCCGAGCACTTACAATCCCAGGATGTCAGGCCACGAGGCAGCATGCCTGACAGCCTGCCCTTGTCCTCTTTTGTTGGTCATGGGACTCAACTGTACAGCTGATTATAGGTCAGCTGTGGGGGACGAATTATATTTAGGGTAAGCAAATTGAAAGAGTTTGAATGTGTTGTCCCCCCCCAGGAACTCATGTGGAAATCTGATCCCTAATGTGGCAGTGTTGGGAGCTGTTTGAGTCACAGGGGCGGATCCTTCATGATGGATTAATGCTCTCCCTGGGGGTTGGGGACAGTGAGTGAGATCTTGCTGTATTAGTTCCCACGAGAGCTGGTTGTTTAAAAGACCTGACACCTACCCTCTTTCTTGCTTTCTCTCGCTATGTGATCTGCTTGTACCCACTGGCTGCCTGCCACTTTCTGCCATGAATAGAAGCAGCCTGAGGCCCATGCCAGATGCAGCTGTCGCAGAATTATGAGCCAAATAAACCTCTGTTCTTTATAAATTATCCACTCTCAGGTATTCTGTTATAGCAACATAGAAACAGGTTAATACACAAATCATGGTGCTTCCATTTTCTTATTGGTGATTGGTCTGGGGTGGATATGTGAGGTAGTTCTGGACAATGAGACAGAAAAGAAAGCCTGCTGGGGGACCTCCAGGAAAGATTTTACTTCCTGCTAAGAGGAGAGAAACCCATTAGGAGAGCGGCCCCCATGCCCATCCCTTTCTGCTTTTGGTGCTCTTTTAGAAGGCTGTGAGGCCTTGACCTGCAGCAGCTGCCATCCGTAACCATGAGGTACAAGCCTGAAGACAAAGGCAGTGGTCCTTGGTGACACCACTGAACCACTGATACCTTGGCTCCACATTCTTGTTTCAAGAGAAAACTTGAATGTCTTTTTTTTTTTTTTTTTTTTTTGTGACCGGTAAGGGGATCACAACCCTCGGCTTGGTGTTGCCTGCACCGCGCTCAGCCAGTGAGTGCACCAACCATCCCTATATAGGATCCGAATCCACGGCAGGAGCGCCGCTGCGCTCCCAGCGCTGCACTCTCCCGAGTGCGCCATGGGGTCGGCCCGAAAACTTGAATGTCTTGATTGCTTACGCCACTGTTAGGTACTCTGTTAACTGCGGCCCAAACCACACAAACTGGAAGCTGCTTTCATCTTTTCTAGTCCAACCTTTGTTTCACAAATGAGGAAACGGTCTGAGTAAGCAGAGCCAATACACGAACCAAGACCAGAGGCTAAGTCAGGACTCGCTCCAGTCTATGCTCTTTTACTATATCATGCTGCCTCTTATTGTACCTTTTTTTTTAAGCAGTATTGGATACAGAGTACCCTGTACACAGAGGGCTCATGGGGTGGCTTCCTGCTAGAGTTCAAAACAACCACTGGAATCCACCCACATCTGAACTTCTTGGGTTCCTACACATGTGAAAACTACTTTTATGCCGATTTGTCTTTGATAAGGAAAAGCAACTAACTCCATCAGAGTGCTGGTCACAGCTTTCACTGTGAATCCCCATCGCCACCTCTCTTCCCTGTTGGTTAGTTATTTTATTCAAAGAGTTCTTCCCTTGTACCACATATTCTGCTGGGCACTGGAAACAATCACTGTCCTCATGGAACATCAGCTGATGGAAGAGACAGAAAAAAGTAAACACACAAATATATAATTACTGACTGAGATGGGTTCGGCCATACCAAAATGAATAGGATGCGAGATAAGAGGAAAACGGGAGAGCTTGAATTCTTACGCAGAAAGCTAAAGGTTGAGAAATGTGGAAAGTGGAGAGGATGTTTCTGGTCGAGTGGCAGTAAGGGAAGCACTGTCCTTGGGGGAGCCGCAGGCCTCGGTTAAGACCAGACGGTGGAGGGGGTGTTCGGAGAAGAGGGTGAGGACACTAGGATCTGGTGATGGTCAGAGAGCACAGTGCTTGGAAAGGAGAAATGGGCTGAGTTCAGTGAGCCGGGAGGATACACATGCAGAGCAGTGTGGAGCTGAAAGTAACTTAATTCTTTTCTGAGAACATGAAATGTCTAACTAAAGCTTAAATATACAACCCGTGTCTTCATTTTTACCTTTAATATGCCAGTGGTACTTGAAACTTCAAAGGAAAAAAGAAAGTTCATCATCCATTTTTCCATCTAAAATAAGTTCTTCCTCATTTCTCCCTAGCTGGCACAGAGGCTTCCATGCTATCAGACTCTGAACCACACAACCAAACACAAGTTTTGGAGACACATGCCTGTAGACCCTCTTCCCCACTTGTCCAGAACACTCACGGCACAGGGGACCACGACCTCAACAGCTGCTCTCCAGGCAGCACTGTGCTGTGTGCCTTACGCATCTCATCAAGCCATGCCTCATGAGGGGAAAGCTGCTATCCCCAGTTTATACAGGTGGAAGCTGAGGCTCAAAGAGGCTAAATGACTGGCCTGCTGCCTCTAAATCGCAGTCAAGACAAACCCAATCTAATCCAATTCTGATTTTGCCCAAAGCAGACACTTTCCTGCTTAGGAAACTACAGCTCTTCAGTGCTCATCTCACATATCCCAGCCCCCCTCTGCTTGGTCACCCCGCCATGAGTCGGCTGCATCACTTTTTTCCCACAGACACATCTGCCCTTGGCAGAGCTGCTTGCCAATTCCACAGCGTCCTCACCACTCTGAAGCCACATGGAACTTGGACACTTGAAGGAAGGAGCTTCTGCTACCCTCTTGGGAGGCCATCCTCAAGGGCAGCAAAGACAGCTATGTGCTCTTTATTCTGCTGAAGGACATAACCAAATTCCACAGGCAAAAGGTTTGGGCTCCAAAGACAGAAGCACTATTAGCACTGGCCCCAGCTCCATCTGACAGGACAGTTGGACTCTGCAAGAAACACACACCAGGACCCAGGCACAGGGTAGGAGACAGAGACACTGCAGAAAGCAGGCAGGTGTCCCTGCACTGAGCAGGACACTGGAAGGGATGATCCCTGAGGTCTCTGGTAGATCCTGAAGGCTCTAGTTAACCTCCTGCCATGTCCTCTCATTTCACACTTCCAGCTGTGCCTCTGTCCTCTCCCTGAATGCCTGTCTCCCTCCCAGTGCCACGCCTTGCTGTGGACTCCACACCTTGCTCCCAGTGCACCAGTGGCTCTCAGAACATGTCCTCTCCCCAAAACATTCCCGAATTGTGCCCATCACTGCTGTGCTGTGGAGGGCACAGCACAGCAACAAGGCAAGGAAGCAGGACAGCTGCCCAAGTGTAGGGGAAGGACAGAGAAGTGAATACAGGAAACACAGGCAGCTTTATTATTCCAAGCAAGGCAGGAGCAATCCCAGCCTCTGTGGGCCCGCGCACAACACACAAGAGGGGTGTTCTGGGTGTACACTCTGGCGAACGGCTATGCCCCACCGCTGTGTGTGGAGCTGTACTCTGATCCATCCGTTCTCCTTATAAGGAGCTCATTAGCTAAGGAGATTGATAGAAAAACAGTCACATGGAGGGAATCAACAAAAGGGAACAGTGTGAACACTGAGGTTACATAATGAAAGGGAACCGCCAAGGGCTGCATAACAAGTGTTGGCCTATTTCTGGGGCAGGGTCTCCTGCTCTGGCTCTGCAGTACTCAGCTCAAACCAGGCCGCCTTCCTAGCCTTAGAAATCCATTCCCAGCTCTCAGGTGCTCCTAGTTCAGATCCCCAGGGGCAGTTATCCTGGGCAGTGACACTGAGCCTGATCCGTCCAGCCTGGGGCTGGATACGGCCTGAGCTCACCATCAGAAACAGTGGCTCCAGAACCACCTCCAAGCTGCTGCTGAGGCTTTTAACATACAGTGTGTACAAAAAGCACTTTATAAATGTAAATTCCTGAGTAAATGCACACAGCTGTATCGTTGCTTCTTAAAATTGTTTAGGGATCATTTTTCTTTATATATTGTCTAGTCACAAGTTTCATTCCTATGTAAATACAAACATTTCTGCTATAAAGCAATATATACATTCTTAGAAAACCTCATGTTCTCTAAAATTGCACACAAATAACAGGACTTATGTAAAAAATAGGGTTAGGATATGTAGTGGATTGAATTATGTTCCTCTCAAACTCACTGAAGCTTGAATTGTGTCCCCCAAGTTTTATGTATTAGAAACTTAGCCACTACTGTGACTGTTAAGAGGGTGGGAAATCCTATTATGTTAATTGAAAGGTGGAGCCTTGAAGAGGTGATTCGATTGTAGGACTGTGCCGTAGTGAATGGATTAAAAATGGTGATCAGGGGTGTCGTGGTTCTGAGGGCTTTAAAAGAAGAGGAGAGTCTGTCTTTCTCTCTGCGCTCTCTGCTTCCACCATCTTGC